AAACAAAATAGTACGGAGTAATATTTATTATATTTGTAGAAGGTTCATGAGTAGTACATTTTGTTCTGGTTCCATAACCTGTTTACTTGATAGTAACAACAATATAATGACTCTGCAAGTAGTATGGATACTAATGCCGCAATGTGTTCAGTTTCATCAACAATTTCGACATCCATTTTGCACATATTCATTTTGAAGTTCATATTTCTAAAATTAGTATGAATGAGTGTAGTACTTGATTTTGTGTGTTTGCGTGTGTATTTTTTTGTAATTTTTTTTTTGTTGAATTGATACTAATCTTGGAGTACCCACTGTAAACACAAAAAAGTAAACTTTGTATATATTCACAAAATTCCGTGTACAGCGTGTGTATAATTCAATGCAGGTACAAAATCTCTGTCTAGTCCTCTGATTCTTCCCTAACGTTATTTATGGAAGTGCCTCCGGGATTCAATTGGCGCGTGCCTCCGGGATTCAAGTGGCGTAACTTCCGGGATTTAAGTGGCGTAACTTCCAACAACGAGCGTCAAGAATTTAGAAATAATCAACCCTGCAAAGTTTCAAAACACATGCAATGGATTCAAGCTGCTTTAAGATCCTCAAACGCCTTCAAAAGACTTCAATATCTTCGAGACAATCAATTCTGCAAAGCTCCAAAGTACCTGCAATGGATTCAAATTGCCTGTAAAATCAACAAAAATGCCTTCAACTTCAAGCGTTCTTCAATGCCTTCGGGCTCTTTGAATGCTCTCAACTCCTGAAGCCTTCAAGTTCTTCAAGCTTTCAAGTGTGTTTTGGAATGAAATGAAGGCTCTATTTATACTAGAAGCCTAACCAACATTCCTCAACAAACTCCCCCCTTTAATTAATTAATTAATTAATTAATTAATTATTCTAGAAAATGAACCTTGCCCAGAATCAAGTCTAGGTTCATTATTGTACAATCTAATTCAAATTCAAATTAAATTATAATTATCTAATTCAAATATAATAAAATTAATATTATATTTAAATTATAATTATAATTTAAATTCAAATATGAAATGGGTTTGGGCCAATTAATTAATTAATTCAATCGCCCAAATCAAATTTTAATTGGACTAACTAAATTAAATTAATTTATATGATCCAATTAATTAAATTGGCCCAATAATCAATCCCGATGTCGGTCCAATAACCATTTATCGGTCCATTTGTTGGGTTCAAATTTTCTGTGTCTACCCCCACGCCTGCCTTTTCACCCCAATGCATGCAATTAATTAGTTTGTCACTTTAAACCTTTTTTTTTAAACAGTGACTACATCTTATATACCAAGTGTTTTTGTTGTAAAGGTTGATGCATGTTGATTTGCTTTTAATCCAATTAGGTTGAGTGTAGAAAATGAAATGAATTGTAAATTTATATTAGTTCTAATATATTTAAAAAAGATGCACAAAATAAGTATTATTTTATCTACAGGATCAATGAATGTTGCAACGATGGCTATTTTTTAAATTTATTCATTTTCTGGATTTACAAGATTTATTGCATCATCGTTGTAGTCTCGATATCTTTTCAATGCGTCAAATATGTCACAATGTTTTATTGCCCTATATTGATATTTTTAATAATGAGTTTTAAATGTAATTACCTAAGATAATAATCTAATTACCATTTACATATTATTATCAACATAAAAGTATATCAGTCCTTTATTAGATTTTTTACTCGAGACACTTTTGGTTCAACCATTAGCTTCTAAGAAGAATAAGGGTGAGACTATTTATAATAAATCCTGGAAGCTGTGTGGCCTCATGTTTGCATAGGAGTTGCTTGCACTCACAAATTCTGCGCCATCTTCTTCAGAATCCTAAAGACCTTCATTCACGGAAATTACAATTGGTTGTTGTAGACTATCTGGTCTCGCTTTCATATTAACGTTAGTTTAATTTCTCCCTAATTACGTTGTTTGATGTAGTTAGTGGCTTCACCCAACAATAATGAATGAAAGGATGAGAGTACGTAATAATAGCAGAAATTAAAGTTTTCATGAAGAAAATGAAAAGTTAATAAAAACAAATAAATTCTTGTTACACGTTCAGCTAGCGCGTGCAATACATGGCCTTGTTGGGCGCAGCAAGTTCGACTAACACACCTACGGAGTGAATGGCTTTTGTTTTTTGCATGCATGCAGTGGGTCCCACAAAAAAAAAAAAAAAAAAAAACTTATATTTTGCAAAGTTTAAATTTTCTTCTCTCTCCTCGTTAAAGATTACGAAGTGCGTGGTTCTAGTGAAGATTTTTGGCAAAAAAATTACAGTTGCAAACGGACTTGCACTAGTAGTGACCATATAAATAAGAGAATCTATGTAAACACCGAACGCCTAAAGTTACACGGTGACATTTTTGTAATTAAATGTTCATTTTTTAAATTATTTTTTTAATTTTTTAAAATATTGGACAATCTACGTCTAAAAGGACCTCGGGGAGAAGATAGTGAGCGCGTCTTTTTTTTTTAAATAATTAAAATATAATCTGCGTCCGATGTTGGCTAACATCGGATGCAGATTGTTAGAGTTTTTTGAACAAAACACCCCCAAAAAATTTTCGCCGTCTTTATTCCCCAACAGAATGTTAAGAATATGTGTGGATGACATTCTCTTTTGTTTATTAATCTGTTCTACATATCTTGGTGTATGTTAGTATTTAATTGTAACTCCCTGCTAATTTTCCTCTTGTAAACACTATTTATATTCTGATGTTATTCATTAATAAAACACAATTCATTCTCTCACATGGTATCAAGAGTCATAATCTCCTAATAAAACACAATTCACTAATAAAACACTATTAGCATCAGGGTGAATCAACGATTTGGTCCCTCAGTTATTAGCGACTTGTCAATGTAGCCCCTCAATCGCATATTCATCGATTTGGTCCCCGAAAATAATTGTTTTTCGTCAGTTAAGTCCCTATGGCCGTATTCCGTCAAGACTCAGGCGAGAGCTCCGATTTGCCCTGAGCATTTTAGTCATTTCATGTATTCTTCTTCATTAACTCTGTCCAAGCTTCGCCGGAGGGAGCTCCATCTCTTCTCTGCTTGCCGGATGGGTGCTCACTGCTCACTTAAGCTGAGGCCAATATATACACAACATCTTTCCCTTAAAAGGAAGCTACTGACACGGCTGTAACTCTAAGCTTCCTTCAATGGCGGCTTCAACGTACAGCATTTTCCGGCTCCCTCACATTCAACATTTCCTCCGCTCAACACAAGACTTCCCGTCCCACCCATCTTTCTTCCGCCATACTCACTCCCAATGCCCGTATCTACCCCTGCAAACCCCTTGTTTCTAGTTCCACTCCCTCACCATCTCACCGAATAGTCGCCCCTCATCCGTTGGAACGCCGCTGTTAGGCTCACTTTCGCCGGAAGATTCCCCATTTCTAATCCTAAACATAAAAAAACAAATAAAATGTAAAATCCACCCTCCATTTCAGATTTCAACATTGTCCAAACAGATAAAAAAAAAATAGTGATTTCCTTTCTTTAATTCTTCTGGGGATGAGAGAGAGAGACGACAAAGAAGAAGGTGAAAGGAAACCTCTCTGTGCCTTTAGAGGGTTAATTCTCGACGAGCAGAAGAGATGGAGATCCCTCCGGCGAGCTTGAGCTTCTCCGGCGAAGCTTGGTCAAAGTTAATGAAGAAGAAGGCGTGAAATGACCAAAATACCCAGGACAAATCGGAGGTCTCGCCTGAGTCTTGACGGAATACGGCCATAGGGACTAAATTGACGAAAAACAATTATTTTTGGGGACCAAATCGATGAATACGCGATTGAGGGGCTACATTGACAAATCGCTAACAACTGAGGGACCAAATCGTTGATTCACCCTTAGCATCATCATCACTTATAACTTCTTCATAACACATAGGATAGACTTCACAAACATAAGTGTAAATATCTGAAGAAGTGAGTATTGCGTTAGATTTCCTCTCTCTAATTTCAATAATAATCATTTCAATTGGTTCAAATAACCTATAACCTTTATGGCACGTTTCGTTCGCAGAATTTGCCTGGAATGGAATAGCATATTCCTTGTACTAGGCATATTCCTTTGTTTGGTAAAAACATCTATTCCAAGGAACAATGTTCCTAGGAATTACCTATTCCCCTTGTAAGGGGGAACAGAGATTCCTGGGCCCCCTGGTATTAGGCTATAACCACCACCACCACCACCACCATTACCACCGCCACCACCACCATCGCCACTACCGCCGCCACCACCGCCGCCACCACCACCACCACCACATATTTTTATAAGGGTATTTATGTCTTTTAAAACATATTTCATTTCTATTCTTTAAACCAACCAAACACGCACTGTAATATAATTTCTAAAGTCTATTCCTTCCACGAACCAAACAATAGAATACAATTCCTATTCTATTCCATTTCTTATGGAATAACATTTTTTATAATTAAAAGGAGAACGACAAATAGCCCGAAGAGGCAAAGCCTCTCAGATCATACAGAAAAGCCAAATTGGCCTTTACAGGCAAAGAGCCAACAGTAGAATAAAGTCTAGGAACCTGAGAATCTAAACCAGCTGCTGCAAGAGCATCTGCAACCTGATTTGCTTCCCTATAGACATGCTTGATCACTGAACCCCATGAGCGAATGCAAGAACAGGCAAAACGAACCGTGCATGTTATCCTCCAAGGGACCCAGGCAGCGTCAGCACTTACCAACGCAACAAGAGCCAGGGAATCGATCTCAATCACATATGGCCTCCGGGTAAAGGCAGAGCACCACTGCAAAGCGCCCTGAAGAGAGAGAGAGTTTCCGCCTCTAAGGCCGATGATGCATTAACATGAAAGTGCAAACTCGCTATAAGGCACCCACGGGAGTCCCGCAAACACGCTCCCCCCGCGGCACCACTAGGACCAAAGGCCGCATCAGTGTTAAGTTTTAGCCTCCCCTGCGGCGGAGTAAGCCACTTAATCCACGCCATCCGTCTCTACGGCTGTACAGCGAATCCGGCCACAATACCCACTGCAATAAGAAGATCATCACCAGGTCCCTTGCGCCGAACACTTTTAAAAGTTGAGATCTCGTACAGCTCACGCTTGACCCGGTTTATAGTAATTGAAGCCGGCATTGAACCATGACCATAGATGCCTTGGTTGTATGAACACCAAAGCAGATATAGGAAAAGGCAAGGCAGCAGCCTCGCGCACCACTCGACAGCCGAACCTGGAGGTGCAAACAACCACCAAGCATGGCATTCCGCCCTGAGCGAAGATGCCGCTGTAAACATGCCAAAAATCCCTCGAAAAAAATTCCAAACCTGTTTAGCATTCCTGCAGTGATAGAGACAATGTTCCAAATCAGCTGATGAGCAATGGCATAGAGGGCAAACTGATGGCAAATAGAGATTAAACTGTTGGAGAATGTCTGGAAAGGGTAAGCAGCAACGTAGCAGCCTCCACATGAAAACCGAGATCCTCGAAGGCACCCCCTCTCCCCAAATGCAACAAGAGGACAAACTCTTGGACGCCTTCAATCTCAGCGCTTCATAAGCTGACGACAAGGTGAACTCTCCAAACGTATCAAGAGTCCATACAACCGCGCCTGAAGTGACTGTAGAGTTGTCATCTACAAATGCTTGAGGCTGGAGCATTCGCCTCCAACGAGTCCCCTTGGAGAAAACCGAAGTAGAGCTTGGCTGAGTACGCCTCCTGGATGGTGTCGAGAGACCGGATGCCTATACCGCCGTCCTCTGTAGGGAAACACACCCTTTGCCAAGATGTCCAATGCCGCTTTGGCCTGCCACCATCCGAACCCCAAAAAAAATTAGCAAACCTTGACTCAATAGCTTTTTGTGTCTACCTGGGCAAGGGAACCGAGGCTGCCGTATACAGTGGGATCGTAGATAAAACAGACTTAATTAAAGTTAGCCTCCCTCTTGGCGATAAAAACTTGCGCTGCCAGCTTAGCAACCTGCTATCAACCCTTTCAAGAATATGATTATAAAAAATGGGCTTGTTCCTGCCTTTGAAAAGACTTACGCCCAAATATCTAAACGGCCAATTTGATTGCTGCATGTTCAAAACCCCGGACATTGCACTCACCCTACTGTTAGCGCACCTCCTTGAGGTTATAAAAAAACTCTTATTGTAGTTTATTTTCTGCCCTGAGCCTTCTTGGTAGTGCAACAAGAGTTCCGCCAGTGCTCTTAGCGAAGCTATGGACACATTTACAAAGATAACAATATCATCTGCGAAGGCTAGATGAGTGATCTGCGGATTGGCTGGGGACGTGTAATAAGGTGTTAATAATCCAACCCCCATCTTCATAATAAGCAACCGGGATAAAGCTTCAAAGGCTAAGATGAAGAGAAGAGGGGACAACGGATCACCTTGTTTGACTCCCCTGGAAGGCTGAAAGAAACCAGAGCTGACCCCGTTAACCAGGACGGACAACCTTGTTGCTTCTAAATTACCCATAATAACATTGATGAACCTGCTCGGGAAGCCAAGCTTTTCCAAAACTGCCCGGAGATAGGCCCATGACACTCTGTCAAAAGCTTTCATCATATCTAGCTTTATGATTACGTTAGACCCCCGACACCGCTTATCAATATATTGGAGCATCTCAAGAGCAAGCAAAATGTTGTCCTGTATATTCCTACCTGAAACAAACCCCACCTGCTCGCGAGAAATAAGCTTTGGAAGGATTGGGCTTAGCCTGGAAGCAACAATTCTCGTGAAAATTTTACTGGCGAAGGTGCAAAGGCATATCGGCCTATAATCAGCAAAGGACCCCGGATGATCTTTTTTTGGAATTAATACAATTTGTGCACTTGCTATCGCTCGCGGGATAGGGACACCCACGAGAAAATCTTGAACTGCCCAGAAAACATCCTCTTGTATCAAATCCCAACAGTGCTTGAAAAAAACCCCAGAGAATCCATCGGGTCCAGCTGCACTGTCTGGATCAAGCTTCCAGACCGCGGCTTTTACCTCTTCTCTCGAAAGAAGCGCAATGAGCCTGGCTGCGTCACTTGGGTCTAAGCCCGAAGGTAAACATTGCAGAAGGGTATCTAGCCCCAAGCATTCTTCTGTCGAAAAAAGCCCCGAGAAGAAGGTGACTGCTTCATTTCGAATTTCATCTTGTTCAGTGACTATAAGACCATTTGCATCTTTCACCGCCGAGATACGTTGTCGCCGATGTTTTTCTTTCACGACCGAGTGAAAGAATTTTGTATTTGCATCCCCCTCTCGCAACCACCTTGCTCGAGTTTTTTGCTTCCAAAAACACTCCTCCTGTTTAAGAGCCAACAGAAGATCAGCTTGTAGAGCATGTAGAGCTGTGCGCGTGTCTTCTGCAGGCCTGTCCTCATAAACACGCTCCGCCTCAGAGACCCTCATTTCCAAACTCTGAATGCGGTCGAAGATATTTCCAAAGGTGTTCTTGTTCCAGTGTTTTAAGTCCGTTTTGAGGCGTTTTAGTTTGAAAGCCAAAGCTCTCATTCCTCCTCCATCCGCGATCATACCCCAACTTTGCATGACCACCTCCATGAACCCCGGGTGAGAGAACCACATACTCTGGAAACGAAACTGCTTAGGAATAGACACAGCCTCGTTTGTACCATTGAACAGAAGGGGTGCATGATCTAAAGAGGTCCGGGCTAGGACCCTGACCCGCACATCGGTGAAAAAATCCCGACAAGCCTAATTCATGAGATAGCGATCTAGGCGTTTCCACACCGGCTCCGAAGTTCGCACCCCATACCAGGTATACTGATTACCCAGAATGGCTATATCGACTAAGTTATTACTATTGGTGTCCGGATTAGCATTACCCCTATATTCAGTCAGGCTAGAAATAACATTGAAATCACCACCTAGAAGCACCGGCGATGAATCTTCCAGCACAGCCGTTAATTGTTCCCAAAGTTGCAATCTCTCAGTTCGAGTGTGGCTACCATAGACTGCTACATAACAGAAAGCAAAACGCCAAGGCAAGTAAATAATATTGCAACAGAGAAACTGCTCAGCATCTATTACCACCTCCACTTCATAATCTTCAGTCCAAAGCAGCCAAATTTTAGATTCCATAGAGGCATAACCATTCGAGAAGCCTAGTTCAGTGATCATCGAACTTAAGCGATCTTGGGCGAGCATTGGCTCAATTATTGCAGAAAAGCGGATGCGCTTACGTCGGAGAAGTCGCTTGAGTCTACGCCGTGAGGAAAGTAGACCCCTGACATTCCAACTGAGCAAATTCATTTCAAACGATGGGAGAACGAGACCCTTGTGATCTTCCCAGCTGTGAGCCTAGTCGTTACAGCCGGAACTTGATTAGAGTAATCTTTCCTTTGACGGGTTTTTTTCTTTGTAACTGCGACCAAGTTCTCCTATCTCTTACCCCCCAGCTTCTTGGCAAAAGTTTTGCTTGCTTCTTTCCAGGACTCCAACATAGAGGGAGTGTATGCCTGGGCATTTTGAATTTCATCCCCATCTGACAAGTGTCCAGGCTGTGATTCTGATTGAGACAATGGTTGTACCCCCTAATCATCAATAATGTTCACCCCTAATATCGCATTAGCGTCTGGTACTTCCACTGGCGCTGTCGAATTCTCAGATTCCGGGAGGTGGCTCTCTAAGCAGTGTGTGTTCTCTGCGTTTTGACCATCACTGGGTGTAACTGCCTGGCGCCAACACTTTCGTGGAGGCACTAAAAGCGGTAGACGCACAGGGCGGTCAGGATCGGCATCCCGCCTTGGCTCGGGCTGGTGATCTTTTTGCATCTTGCATTCCCTCGTGAGGTGCCCAAACTTACGGCATCCGAGCAGTAGGGCGGTACGAACTCATAGACGACTCTCTGGGCAAAACCTCCATATGATCCGTTATTAATCCACACCTGATCCGTTAGAGCTGCACTAGCGTCCAATTCCACACAAACACGAGCAACAGAGGGACGATTGTGCGCTAGAGTGGAGCTATCAACCTTAAGGGGGGAGCCGATAAGGTTCGCTATTGAATAAATAGCCCGTTTGTCCTGCAAATGTGTTGGTAGACCCTCTAGGGCTATCCAAACCGGAACGATTGGCGACTCCATATCCGGCCTGAAATCCGGCATCCATTTGAAAACCCGCATGAGAGATCCCTTGATGGACCATGTTTTCCGCAGCCAGCATCCCTGGAAATCGACCTCATGGTCGAAATTCATCAGAACGTGCTTCTGATCCAGCAGCCCGAGTGAGAAGGCACCACCAAACCCAATTAAATCGAAGGCTTTCCGCAGCTCTGTCATCGGTGGACGACTCTTCATAAATTTGCCAACCAGCGCGAACTTGAACTTGTGCGCAAAGAGGCGTGCATCTTCATCCGAGAAAGAAACCGCCGGCATCCCCTTAAAACGCTCTGGCGGCCGAAGTGGGATAGGCGTGGAAGGAGACGAAAGGATGTCCGCAAAGGAACAAGGAGGGGGCGCGGCAGCCCCCGAAGGCGCTGCCATGAGATTTTGCGATCGAAGGAAGTTTAGCACAAAAGACGGAGCGTTTTGTAACTGACTTATGTAATAACATTTACTATTACCTCAAAATTTATTCCGTGAACCAAACGTGTTGTTAGAGTATTCAGGATACTCAATAAACAAACATCTTTTTGTTCTAGCTTTTAACTTGTCTTTGCTAAGATCTGGGGATAAGAACATGTAGTGCTACACAACCCTAAACTCTCATATAATTCAACTTTGGCGACTTCCCAAATCAAAGTTCATATGGAGTCTTTTCAATGACTTTTGAAGCAAGGTACCCTATTCAGAATGTGAACAGCAACTAGAAGTGTTTCCCCCCAAAAGGAAGCAGGCAAATTTGCAAGAGCTAACATCACACTACTGAAAATTATGGAATTTCCGACCACCTGAAAGTGATCTTAAATCAAGTCGAAAGCCTTGTTCCGACCACTTTTGGTATCCGGAAAAACCTTTATTGCTATTTCCGGCCACTTTTTGCTTTCAATTTGATTTAAGATCACTTTCAAATAATAATACTATGGGTCTTGGATGGGTTTTGCGAGATGAACATGGTGTTTTCTTAGCAGCAAAGGGTGTGCGTGTGGAAGGAAATTATGGCGTAAAAGAGGTGGAGGCGGATTGTGTGCGTGAAGCTTTGAGCTGGCTAAAAGGAACCGGAATGGGGGAGGTCGATGTTGAGACTGACTCGCAGTTGGTTTACTATGCTTTATGTTCAGACTCTTTCAATTCTGTTTTTTCTTTAATAATTGATGATATAAAAGAAGTTGCATCTTCTATGCATGATGTACACTTTTGTTTTGCTAGGTGATCTGCGAATCGTGCTGCCTACATTTTTGCTCGAGAAACCGTTTCTGCGTCAGGTTGCGGGGAGTGGTTTGACAATCCTCCTCAATTTCTCATCGATTGTATTTCCTCTGAGTTAATTCATTAAGTTTTTCTCTTCAAAAAAAAAAAAAATTATAATTTGTATAGTACTAACACAATGCTAACATATATGTAATTGATTACCTTGTTTTGTATTTACAAGCTCCTTTCAAATAATGCAGTCACACAATATTAACATATTAAGATTTGATGACTTTGTATTGTATTCACGCTATTATGTGTTTTAACATAAAAACACAATTTATATTATAAAAATTCATAATTTCAATACTAAAATTACACAATTTATATGTCGTTTAGGACTAGAGTTCACCTTGTAAGGAGGACACTAGTCCATGGTATAACAACTCCTTAACAATGTGCTTCAATTTTCTAAGAATGGTTCAATCAGTTCACACATATATGTGAAATTTTAATGCTTAAGAATTTAAGTTTGACAGCCCAAAATAACCAATAATGGTGTGCTATAAAAGGAACTTTTGTGTCAAGAAAATGTTTCCCTTTATACTGGTGTAACGTACTAGAAAGGAAGTTTCATGTCTCTCTCTCTCTCTCGCGTTTTTCGAGTGGAGAGAGGGGCTGCATCAGAGCATGAAATTCAATAATTATTGTGTGGATTGTGGTTTACACAATTGTATGGACTACGGTATAAAAATGACATCATTTCATGTAAAATAAATTCACGTGATCCACTACAACATACAATTTTTATAATTAATAATGTACCATATTCTAAAATATAATGTACATTATTCTAACTCAAAAAGTGCATTATCTTATTACATAAGTTTCATTATTCTAACACATAATGTACATTATTCTACACAAAAATACATTATTCTAACTCATAAAATTCGACGTCGTTATTTTGGAGCTGATAATTTACCCCCTGAGATTATCACATGCCTCGAGGAGTTTTAAGATATTTTAGTGTTTGACTACCAGGCTCCCAAATTCTACTCCCTTAGTTGGTTAGTTATACTCTATGATGTAAGGCAGTCCAGGAAAAGTTGTCTACGTAAAAATTTTTAGAGTAGAAAGTAAAAGTTTAGAGTAAAGTTGAGAGTAAATGTAATATTTTCTTAGGTTTAAACCCTAATGGGGTGTTTGGTATGATGAAATTGTAATTTCATTCCTACCAAATTTCATGAAATTACAATTTCATGGTTTAGTTAGAGTGAAATTGCAATTCCTAGGTCCCCTATAGGAATTGCAATTCCATACTTTGTGGAATTGTAATTCTATATTCAATTACTATTTACCCTCTTCTTCTTCTTATTTTATTATTTTTTGAATGCTACTGACTCTATGACAATGTAGTATCTGTTCGTAATTACTTTCTCAACCTACTGAAGCACAAAGAGTCAATAACGTCTCCATTGAGACTCGAACTCACGCCTTATTATTATTATTATTATTATTATTATTATTATTATTATTATTATTATTATTATTATTACTAGTAATTCAACCGCGCGATACACGGAAAAAAATTATGTTATTATAAATATAAATAAAAAATAGAAAAAATAAAATATTTTAAATTATTTTATATAATAATATTTTTGAGCTTCCATTGGTCAAGTATTTATTATTTTTATAGAATACAAAATTACAATTAAAATTAAAATTAATATTAAAATTATAATTTTGTATAGTTAATATGATCTCTAATTATGTGCATATTCAAATAAACTTATAGAGAGAATTTACATAATTACATTGATTTATTCTTAATTGTATTTCATCTCTATTATAATTTTCACAATATGAATAATAACTAAGATAATTACATTTGGAAAGCAAATTTCAAATTTTGTATGTGTAAATTTAAACTCTAATTGAACACATTTTTTATATAATTATATAATATATAGCTATTTTATTTTTCAAAAGTATATTTTTTATATGATTATATAATATATAGCTATTTTATTTTTTAAATGTTGTGCTTTTTTTTTTTTTAATAATAAAGGATGTTGTGGCATTAATTGTAACATTAATTATTTCCGAAACCATATAACTTTATTATATAAAGGATTATTATTATACAATGACATTTTAGTCTTTATGCATTTCTTTCTTTTCATCAATTCTTTATAATTATATTCTAAACCACACTTAGACTTATGACTAACTATGCCCGACCTGTGTCGGTTTCGGGTACAGGTACACTTTTGTGGTTGATCGTTCGAGCTTTTTCTGGAAGTATGGCATGGGTTATTTCAGCGCCGTAGCGCCTCGTACTCAAACATTGGTTCGAGGCATTTTCTCTACCCCTTCTTACCGTGAAAGGGCACCTTACGCTCTTGAACCGAAAACCATCTTTCGGCTAACCTAGCCTCTTCCGTCCCTCGGGACCCAACAAAGCTATAGTACAGGAATATTCACCTGTTGTCCATCGACTACGCCTTTCGGCCTGATCTTAGGCCCTGACTCACCCTCCGTGGACGAACCTTGCAGAGGAACCCTTAGATTTTCGGGGCATTGGATTCTCACCAATGTTTGCGTTACTCAAGCCGACATTCTCGCTTCCGCTTCGTCCACCCCTACTCGCGCGGAGGCTTCTCACTAAGGCGGAACGCTCCCCTACCGATGTCTTTTCCAACTTTCATATTGTTGTTCGGCAACGCCGTGACCGAAACTGTAGGACGACTGACTTAGAATTTGACTGAAAACAGTACTCAATCAACGCACTTCAACTAAAAACCAGACCGACATGGGTTTGAGTGCATTTATTCACGTTACTGTTTAAAAAGGCAATTCTGATTTCTGAAACTATGTGCATTCATTAGAGGAAAAATGTTAGAAATTTCTCATTTCCATTTTTTTTTTTTTTTTGAGATAAGGAATTGAGAAGTGTGTGTATAGTAGAGTTTGATCAGGTGCGGCCGCGTCTTAAAGTACGATCAGTGCGGCGATCGCAACAATAGTTATGCAAATATGTATCAACACTATTAAGAAATGCACAACACAAATATGCACCATTAGGTATGCATGCATCACTAAAAAAATACACCATTAGTTATGCATAAAAGCACCACACAGTGTTAGTAAAATGGATAATTAGGTATAGAGAGTTATGGTGCATTATTTTGGGTGTGTTTGTGCGTTTTTTGGTTTATTTGTCCATTTTATTATTGTGCATTTTTCTAACACTATTAGTGTTTTTTTCAAGCGGCTGTATGCCTGCATTTAAGCAAAGTAATATATATATATATATATATATATATATATATATATATATATATATGAAAGAGAAAGACTAAATGTGGAATAACATTTTCCAGTATATATTTATGAGTTAATTCTATTTTTTGTCCTAAATTTATAAGTGATAGTCCATTTTTAGTCCTTTTTTATCATAACATTCATTTTTGGTCTTAGTATTATTGTGACATGATCAATTTTGATCCTTTATCAAAGAAATTGTTAAAATTTCGTTAAATACAATGACATTTTGTTCTTTAATTATGATTTTTTTTCAAAAAAAAAAAAACATAAAAAATATAATGGGTTAAGGCACTTTGTATTGAAAAGATCAAAATTTCTTTTAATTTAACAAAATTTCAACGATTTTGTTGATAGAGGATCAAAATTGATCATGTAAAAATAATGCTAGACCAAAAAAGGATGTGTTTATAAAAAGGAACTGTCACCTATAAATCTAGGACAACAAATGAAATTAACTCATATATTTATTACCAAAAAAAGGAATTTTCTTTAATGAATTTACAATATTATTTTAAGGAATCTCACATGCAAATTATCCAATGAAACCGTTCTTGACTCCAGCGATCCAGTTTTTGTCAATTCGATTTTATTTAGTCAGTACCACTGGACAATATTTGAACGCATTTATTCTCCACGCGGAAGCTAAGACATTTTTATTTTCACGTTTTCAAGAATACATTCGTATTCTTACGTAGTGACCATGCCTATATATACACATGCATCTCCTATCCATCCACATAGTATTAAATATTATTATATATTGAGACCAAAACATGCAGTCCAATAGTAGCATACCGAGACCAGCCCGGCATTTGAAGGAGAAATATCGGCGGACGCAAATGAAAACCCTTTATCGTCAC